CATTTTATTTTATATATAAGGAAATGTTACACTGTATCTCAGAGAAGAAATTGTTATTACATGATTCATAACACCCACACCCACCCCACCATTAAGCACTGTTCAAAGGTTTGCATTGAAGCAATGTGGAGTTACTTAACCCGCTGTATGCTTGCACCTTTCCCATTTCCCATAAGCTCCATTCAGATTGCTTCTGGCTATGAGGTTCCAATTACAGTGGTGCCCCGCTAGATGATTACCTCGCAAAATGGTTAATTCGTTAGACGATGAGTTTTTGCGATCCCTATAGCGCTTCGCAAAACGATGTTTCCTATGGGCGATTTCCGCTGGACGATGTTTCAGACCGTGCTTCGCAAGACGAGTTTTTTTCAGGACCGATTTTCACAAGACGATTTTTACAGCTGATCCGCGCTTCGCAAAATGGTTTCTCTATGGGTGAATTTCGCAAAATGACGATCTCCCCCCATTGGAACGCATTAAACGGATTTCAGTGCATTCCAATGGGGAACTGCATTTCGCAAGAAAGTGTTTTCACAAGACAGCGATTTTCGTTGAACGAATTAACATAGTCTTGTGGGGCACCACTGTATATGTTTGCAATGCCAAGTACTATATGGGGAGAAAAGTAACTTTGTAGCGGAACAGTTTGGAACAGAGAAATTGGTGTTGGTGTTGGTGTTGGTGTTTTGTTGGTGTTGTTATTGTTATTATTGTTATTATTGTTATTTGTTGCTATGTGTCATCAAGCCACATTGGACTCATAGCCACCCAACGAATGCGCAGTATCCAGAATACTCCAGAAATACGGGCCCACCCTGCAGATCTGGGTTCTCCATCAGGTTATGACGGAAATTAACATGAAATATGACATGCAATTAACCAGCTTGGCCAGAAATGGGTGAAAGTTGCGGCTATGTCAAAACAGGTGGCAAAAGAAGAAAACTGTTTGAAGCTGTTTACAAAAAGGTAAATTAGCCCTCTGTTTCGGTATATCGCACTAACAGACGCGCAGGCACAAAGATCCTTTTGACACCTTTAACTCCTTCCGAAACCTTCATGGGTGGCCCAGGGCTGGGGCCAAAAATCCAAGTTGGGATTTCTTCATTTACAGCAAGAAACCAGTCTAACCGAACACCTCACAACAGGGTTTGGGCCGATGTGAACGTTTGGGTGGCTTACATTTCATGCTATGACGTTATGCCAGATCCCTCAAGGCGGTTTTGATTTTCCTTTGGCTTCCCTTTAAAGCTCGGGATGGATTCAAAACAACCCCCCAAAAAAAAGGTCTGGGAAAATATAATTTGGGAAGAAAAATCTCCTGGTGCACTGATTATGCCAGGAGAGGGGACACTTTTGTTTTATATAAGGTATACAGGATTTTTGTCCCAGAGTGGTTCATTTTTTTAATGATCCCAACTGTGAATGACTTGCCTAGAGAAACGCACCCATGTTTGTTCATACATCTGGGGACTGTGTCCTGCTGGAGGAATATAAGCGTGTGACAGGACTCATCTCTCAAAAAGTTGCATAAACTTTTCAATGGATTAGGTGCGGCACCATGCTGATGAATCTGGGTGTGTTGATAGTCTCAGGGCCACAGTATATAACCCTGTAATGGGCAGGAAGGATTTGACACCGACGAAACACTCATAGAGTAGATGCACAATTAGATGGGGCAGCAGGAAAAGAGGAATGTGAAATGTGAGATGGATGGACTCCATAAAAGAAGCTGTGGCTTGTCGTTTGCAAAACCTGCATCCCCATGTTTGTGTTGCCTGGGAACTGGTATATATCCTGCCCTTACTACTGAAGATGACGTATGGTTACTGTAACTAGTCATTGCTCATACTGTTTGCCTAAGGGCGTGGTTACACTGCTGATTCGTATCAGCTTCAGCTCAGATGTATTCTAAACTGATTTAACATCACATGGTTTTGATATCACTGTGTGCATTCACTTGGAAGTTAATCACTCCGACATAAATTAGGGACTTCATTTACCATTAAGTTTGCAGACCGTGCTGTTTCCGTAATTTAGAATACTGTAATTTTTAAAACATTAAGTGGCATAGCGCTGCATCGACAGTTGTAAAAATAAGTTTGACTCAGTTCTGAAACTCTCTGCACCATGCAGGGAGGACTCTTCAACCTTATAGTCCTGAAGGCCACAGATTATGTGCTGCATAAAGTAGGGGGTCTAAGTAAGAAGGGGGGGCTTCTATTGCTTTTCTTTTCTGTCAAGTCTCTTAATACGAATTGTTTAATGAAAGCTGAAATGCTGGCAGACTTTTGCCACCTTTGGTAAAACTGCTGGATAGCTCAGTGGCTGAAGTATCTGATTGCAGAGCCAGTTCTAAGAATAATTGATCTATTGGTGTCTGTTGTTCTTACTTAGTTTATTTTTTGTAATGTATTATATGAATTGTAATGTCATGATGTTTAATATTTACTATTCAGTGTATCACAACTGATGTTGCATCTGAATTAGTTTTTTGTCAACTATTCTGAGCACAATGCATTGTGGAACACGCCATATACAAATAAACTGAATAATAGTAAAAAAAATAATAACCGTAATTTCCTTTATGTGCCCTGAATCTTCCACCATTGCTCTTCACTGGATGGCTCATGCTCTTAGCATTCATTATAGGACAGGACAACATTTCCTTCTGCATTTTCTCCTCGCTGAATATAATTTAATATTCCTTACCATGTGCTGTCAAGTTGGAGCTGACTTATAGTCAGACTTTTGGTCTAGATGGGTGGGGTAGAAATCTAATAAAATAAAAATACAATAAATAAATAGCGGCCCTAATAGGTTTCTGGAGGTAAGTGAGATACATGGTTGAGGGGGGATTTGAACCAAGGTCTTCTTAGTTCTACTTCCCTCACTCTATCCACTACACCATACTGCACTTACTTAATTTTTTTTCTTTATTATCAAGTCACAGATGCCACCACCTCACCTCATAGATGATTTGGCCTGAGCCGCTGTGTTCCTCCGCAAGATCCCTTTCCAGCTACAGTATAACACTTTCCTTCACATGTCATTCGGTGTGAATGCAGCTGTACTTTTGTCTCAGTTTTGTATCCCATGTTCATGTAAAAGGTAAAGGTTCCCCTTGACACATTCGGTGTGAATGCAGCTGTGCTTTTGTCTCGGTTTTGTATACCGTGTTCATGAAGCTCATATTAATCTCTGCCTTGTTTTGGTGCTCCTCTCCTGTAAGAACGTTTTCTTACTTCCTTCTGAAGCAGCTTGGGACAGGATGACCTGCTCTTATAGGACAGGACTTGGCTTTTATCCCAGATATGCAGAGGGCAGCTGCATAAGGGCATCTGTTTTGCATAACATTAGCTTTTGCCCAGCTGTTTCCCGTGTTCATGAAACTCATATTAATCTCTGTCTTGTTTTGGTGCTCCTCTCCTGTAAGAACGTTTTCTTACTTCCTTCTGAAGCAGCTTGGGACAGGATGACCTGCTCTTATAGGACAGGACTTGGCTTTTATCCCAGATATGCAGAGGGCAGCTGCATAAGGGCATCTGTTTTGCATAACATTAGCTTTTGCCCAGCTGTTTCTGTTGTTGGAGAAGGCAAATCTTACCTGATGATATTTGCTTTAGAGATATCAAGTTTGGGCTACTGTCATTCATTGTACATGGGGCAACCTTTGAGGTGGACAGATCCTAGAATTCTATGCTTCAGAAGACCCACTGGATTTCCTCTGGTGTTGATACAACATCTGAATATTGTTCTTATCCAAGCAGCACACCTGTTCTTGGGCCGGTGATTCCTATCTGCAGTCAAGTTGCTTCTGACTTATGGTAACCATAGTAGGGCTTTCTAAATTTTATTTATTTATTTATTCGATTTTTACCCCGCCCCTCTAGACAATGTCTATTCTAGATAAGTAAAATGTTCAAGGTGTAGTTTCCCATTGCCTCCCACCCAGGTGAGTTTTCATGGTTGGGGGGGGGAGATTTGAACCCAGGTCTTCCGAGTCCTCGTCTGAGGCTCTGTCCACTACATCACACTGGCTCAAAACATGTGGCATTATTCCCTTGTTTTACTGGATATGGCTGTTCTGTTTGAAGCATCTACTATGCCATTGTTGTTGTTTAGTCGTTAAGTTGTGTCTGGCTCTTCGTGACCCCATGGACCAGAGCACGCCGGGCCCTCCTCTCTTCCATTGCCTCCCGGAGTTGGGTCAAATTCCTGTTGGTCGCTTCAATGACGCTGTTCAACCATCTCGTCCTCTGTCACCCCCTTCTCCTCTTGCCTTCACACTTTCCCAACATCAGGGTCTTTTCCAGGGAGTCTTCTCTTATGAGATGGCCAAAGTACTGGAGCCTCAGCTTCAGGATCTGTCCTTCCAGTGAGCACTCAGGATTGATTTCCTTCAGAATTGATAGGTTTGTTCTCCTTGCAGTCCAGGGGACTCTCAAGAGCCTCCTCCAGCACCACAATTCAAAAGCATCCATTCTTCGGCAGTCAGCCTTCTTTATGGTCCAGCTCTCACTTCCATACATCGCTACTGGAAAAACCAGTAACTATGCCATTAGTATTAGATATTTCTTTTTCGGTATGATACTAATTATTGTAATTGCTGTCTTGGGGACTCTAGGAATAGAGCAGAAAGACAGGAGTGACACATTTGGAGAAACGATAAAAGTCTGAGCACACCCAAGCCATAGCAGAGAGAAGGTGTACACCTTACCTGCAAGGACGATGCAACCCCATCATCGTTGCCTCTTGGTCCATTCACAAGCTAAGCATCTAGAGGCACACCCTTCTGTTTTTCAGTCTCTGTCCTATGGTGTCAGCTTGGAATGCAATGGGTGTTATCAGAAATGACTTTGCACAAATTCAGATAAAAGGGTCAGACGAAGTTGCTGTTGAAAGCATCTGATTTTTATGTCCCGAGTTGTCTCTCTGACTCACATTTAATGTTCGATGGAGCTGGAATTTGTTCTTGAGACGACACGGTTGCATTCGAAACATCAATTGTGCTAGGAAGTTCTAATTAACAGAGAGGGGAGGCACAAAATGGAAGGCGCCACCAATGAAAGAATGCAGACATGCTGTCTAGGATCTGTTCCATGTTATGTGTGTCATCTCCAAATTACATCTTGCTCTGGCCAGTGGAATTTATCCTTTACTGTCTTTTAGCACTGTAGCTGCGATCTGCTTGAGCTAGGATGACAAACACATAAGCTTGGTTTTTCTGTGTTGAGTTTTCAGTCTTATCTCAGTGTGCAGGTTAGGGTGCAGATAAAGGAACAGAGATCACAAACTTCAAAGTAGTTAGGGTCAAGTTCTCCTACACTGACATCATTATCTCTTCCCCAGAACTGAAAACCAACTCCCACCCAAAAAGCAATAACGTAATATGAACGGAATTCAAACTACAAATCAACACCCTCCTCACTCAAAGTATTAGCATATCAAAGTCCCAGTCTTTTACCTTAACTTCCACCCTAAGTATGCATTGATGCAGTTTTGAATTTTGGTTAGATAGATAGATAGATAGATAGATAGATAGATAGATAGATAGATAGATAGATAGATAGATAGATAGATAGATAGATTCATTCATTCATTCATTCATTCATTCATTCATTCATTCTATGCATTTGATCGCTTCACAGAGCTGCAGATTCATTCATTCATTCATTCATTCATTCATTCATTCATTCATTATATGCATTTGATCGCTTCACAGAGCTGCAGAGCTACGTTGAGAACTTGAAAGCCAGGGGCTGGTCCTGCGGTACCTACTTCATTCGGCAATGCAAATGGACTACAACTCCCAGAATGCCCAGCCGTCCTGTGAGTTGTCAAAACAAAAACAACAACGCGGAAGCTCTGCTTTTCCTCTTGCCGTTACCCTCCGAGGCAGCAGAGGGCGCGAACGGACCGATGAGCGCATGCGCGTAGGGACTAGAGCCGAGGACGGCAACAAAGGCACCGGAGAGGGAGGGATTTGCCGGCTCGAGGGGCGGGGCAGAGTGGGCTTGTTTCCCGGCGTCCCTCGCGCGGCGCGTGCGCAGTGGTGCGCGGCCGTGGGTTTCCCTCAGGCCGGTCCTCATCATCATGGCGGAGCCCCGCGACAAGGCGCTGCAGGACTATCGGAAGAAGCTGCTGGAGCACAAGGAGATCGACGGGCGCCTCAAAGAGCGTAGGTGGTGGTGCGGAGGAGGAGGAGGAGGAGGAGGCAGGGAAGGCCGAGGCAGCCCCGGTCCCGGCCCCCCACTCTCCCCCGCCTCCTCCTTCCCCGAGGCAGCCCCGGTCCCGGCCCCCGACTCTCCCCGGCCTCCTCCTTCCCTCGCCGGGAGTGCTTGGTCACGGCCGGGCCGGGGAAAGGAAGGGATGCCTCTCCCGATGGGTGCGAAACCCGACCGCTTCGGCTTCGGGATGGCGGGGCTTCAAGACCTTCTTCTTTTTCTTCTAATTTGTTTTTTGAGGTGGGAGACTACAACTCCCAGAAGGCCAGGCCCTGCGGTCGGGGGATGATGGGACTTGTAGTCCAAAAGGGCCAGCGGGAGGGAGGGAAAGGGACGTGTGCTCAAGCTCTCCTTCGTTTCAGGATCAGGTTGCGAAGGTAGCGCCGGCCTTCCTTCTCTCCACCCCTTACCCCCCCCCCCCCCGCTTTTCCTCCTCCGAAGACTTGGAGGCGGTGCCTGGGGGGGTGGGGGGTTTGTCTTCTCTCCCTCCCATCCTTCCTTTGGCCTCTTACAGTAGCAGCAACAGCCTGGCGAGGTAGGCCGGTGGGTGACTGGCGGTTGGCCCTGCGCCCCGAGGCCAGCCACGCTGGGAGCTCCTCGCCCCCCACACCGGGGTGGGTGGGTGTTTGTGGGTGGGTATGTCGATTTGACGCCTGGGGTCTGGTGTTTGGGCTGCAAGATTACAAATAATAGTAATCATCATCATCATCAGCGCTAGGACAGGAGGGCACGCAGCCACACACACACACCCAGTGCAAGTAACGCATGGGGGGAGATCGGTAGGCCGTGCTTGAAGAAATGCCCAGTGTTGGTGGGGGAGAGAGAGAGACAGACGGACAGAATAAATGTATAGACCCCACATGAGCACATGTAAGTCGAAAGCGTGCATAACTGTGCATGCAGGTGTATAACACATACACACAGAGCCAAAACTCCCACCCCAGCTGGCCTTCTGTCTCCCAAAAGCAGCTGCTGCTCCAACGCTTTGGGACTTCCCATGTAACCTAGAGGGATTCTGGGTGTTGTAGTCACTCCCCCCAAAAAGAAACATTCTCCACTCTTCTTCCTTTTAGTCATAGCTTGCAGCTGTGGCCCACCTCTTCTCCAAAGAGGTGAAAGTGATGTCTGTGGTTCTCACCCCTTAATCTTAGCTACCCAACAACAGCATTGCAAGGTGGGCCAGGGGATGAATGGCAGTAGCACCTCCTCCCCAGAGGCATACTGCTTTTGAATATGGAAGATCCATGTTAATGTTATTGTCTTACTTGATAAAGCTTAATAGGTTTAAAGGAACCGTTAATAGGTTTAATTGTTCACCGTGATTTTGTCTCATCTTTATATCCCCAGTGGCTATTCCAGTTTCCTAGGGCAGCAGGTGACATATGAGAAAGAAAAATTCTTAATTGTCCTCTCCGGTCATGGCCAGGCCTGTGCCCTGTGACATCTGCAACAAGATGACAAGTGTTCTGTCACTGTGTTGATCTCTAGCGTTGTTGTTTCTTAAAAATGGAGGCTTTAAAAGGAGGAATGGTGTTTGTCTCCTTGCTTTTTGGAAGGAGAAGAGAAAGAGAGAAAGGGAACAAGTGGAAGAGCTTGGGAGTCCCAGAGCAGTAGACAACAAGAAAAGAAGCCTTGTGGTTTGTACTGAAATAAATGAGCCAGTTAAATTAGTCAGTCTTAGAGGTGTCACAAAAGAGGTGCTTTTGAAAAAAAAAACAGACTGATCATGACTACCTCTGTGAAGACATTTGAAGGGAGAAATCTCAACTGCAAGATATAAAATTTTGATGCCCAGGACATATAACTGGTCTCGGCAGAGGTCATAAGAAGATCCATATCCCATATTCTTTGCAGATTTTCACTGTATTTTTGAGGGGGGGGTAGGCTTTTCTTTGACAGATCAGAGTGTCTTTTCTCTTCATACTGCTTGTGGTGTTCTGAATGGCTTTCAGCTTCATTCTATTCCTGCTAAGTCTCTGAGACAAATGTGCTCCTATGTGAGTGCACACAGGGTTGTAGTCTACATTGTTTCACTGAACCTCAGTGTGGATGATTCATGATGCTGAATTTACAGTATTCTGATCAAATAAGTACCCAGCAAAGTGCACTTTACACCCTAACACAGTGTGTTTCTTTATAGGGACCAGTCTCTTCAGGGAGAGACAGAGACAGAGAAATAGGGAGCCCAGATTATAATATGCGTAACAATTGCTTTTATGTTCTTGATTCTAGTAAGGGAACAGCTGAAGGAGCTCACCAAGCAGTATGAGAAATCTGAAAATGACCTTAAGGCTCTGCAAAGTGTTGGGCAGGTGAGTGTACATAATCCAGAGCCAGGGTGTAGCGTATGAAACAGGACTGTGGTCTCCCTGAGTAGAGTGATGGACTAGGGCCAAACCTTAGGTACCACCGGTGTTCCTCTACTGCAGCTCCCAGAAACCCTAGGTAGCACAGCTGGTGGTGAATGGAATCTGGGAATTGCAGTCCAAGAACACCATGATTGCCCTAGGTTGGGAACTCCTGCGTTAGGACTGAGGAGGCCTGGATTCGAATTCCAGTTCAGGCATGGAAACTCACTGGGGGTGTGGAACCTGCAAAATCACTCCTTAAATATCTCAAGTACACTGAAAGCCCCATTTGGGTTTTCTCATGCTACAGGAATTTGTCTGCCATAGATGTTGGTTATGAACATTATGAAATGTGGGCCTTATGAAATATGGGTTTTTATGTAAGATGTTTTGTAAAATAAATTACTGTATTTTATGGGAGAGGAAATGGGCTGCTTGCCTGTGAAGATGTCAAAAGTGACTTCCCCAGAATCCGACTTGGAGGCAGGTGACAACAACAGAGAATCCGTGCCCCCTCCAAGGCTGTTTTACTTCAGTTCTTCTCTCCTGGCTACTGGCTGTGCCTGCTGGGAATTGAAATTCATCAACATTTATAGGCCGCAGGTTCTCCAGCCCAGCATATCCTTCATAATCTCTTGTGTCCGAAATCAGTTGCAAGAATGCCCAAAGTGCCCTAGAGCAGATCTTTGTTCCTTGCTTTTGTTTTAAGACTATACATGTAGATACGATTGGAAGGTAGCTAGCTGCAGTTCGCCATAGCTTGTTATTTGCTTAGCTGTGATAAGTCTTGGAAGTGGCGGCAATGGAAGGGGGAATCCCGGCCATGGAGGCGCCTCCAGCCCCCACTCCGGATCCGCCTCCCGTCATGCCCAATCCCACCACTACCTATAGTTCGGCCGGCCTGCCAGTGCCAGCTACACCAGATCTTGACCCCCCACCTGTCGGAGTGCTAGCACCTCAGGTTTGGCTGCCAGGGGGTAGCGATCCAGCAACATACAGCTCGCATGCCCACAGAAAGGGCTCTGCATGCCAGCTGTAGCACGCATGCCATAGATTCCCCCATTACTAGCCTTGGGAAAGAACTCAATGGGTCCATTGGCTTCAGGGCCAGATTCTGGCCAGGTCCATTAATTTCATTTCAGCACTTCAATTTTAGAGCAAGGAAACAGTTGCTCTTCTACAACGGGTGCCGTAGTCGAATCATATTTGGAGGAGCTGTGTGTTCTCTGTTCTGTAATAAGGTTGATGATGTGTTGATTAGAAGGACATTGTGTGAATGACCATGAACCCACATGAATGTTGTCAAATGTTTAAGTAGCCCTCTTGGGGAAAGGAGTAAACAAAAGAAGCTGCTGATAACAGGCAACTGTGCTGATGTTGCTGCGGACCTCACCTCCATATGATCCTGGGTTCCACTATTCTGACTGGGGAGGAGGGGAACGTCTACAAATCCTTGCAGTCTAATGTGTTGTAATTGCATCTAGTGGGACAAAGGCTGCTGTAAATGGATACATTTGCATCCTTTCAAAGAACCATGGACAGAGGTTGGTAGAGCTAATATTCTCTTTTCCTCTTTTTTAAACAACACAGATTGTTGGTGAGGTCCTTAAACAGTTAACGGAAGAGAAATGTAAGTACGCTAGTATAACAATTGGCTTTATTGCTATTTAATGCGACAACATTTTAGAAAGTTGGCAAAAGCCTACGTTGCTTTAAACATGTTCTAGCCATTTTTCTTCTCCTAGGCACTGTCACAGTTGAACTAAAATGCCACCATTTGCTTTTCTTGCCTGCTTCTAGTCATCGTCAAAGCAACCAATGGACCAAGATACGTCGTCGGCTGCCGTCGTCAGGTGAGCGCCTGTCTTCGAATGGTTGTGTCTTGGTCCCGAGTCAGAGAAAGCCGACTTTGGGGCTGCCATTGTGCTCGATTGGGGTGTCTGTCCCCAACACATCTCCTTTTGTCTCTCCTTCCGGTGAGGGCCAGCCAGTGCAGAGGCACGAGAGCAATTGGTCACCCTCTCTGTCCTCAGTTGCATCCCTTGAACACAGGCTAGTTGCGTTCTTTCATATTTTAATTGGCTTTGTAACTTTGTAGCAGCTCCATGGGGTGCTGATCCATTTCCACACCCAAGTCAAAGTGCTGATTTTAATCTATAAAGCCTGAAATGGCCTGGGTCCAAGTTACCTCGAAGATTGCATCTCCCATTAAGAGCTGGCTTGGGTGTTAAGATCATCAGGCGAGACCCCCACCATCCTCACAGGCATGCTTGCTGAGGACGCGGGAGAGGATCCTCTGTGTTGCTGACCCCAAAGTGTGGAACCCCCTCCCACTGGAGGCCAGACTGGCCCCATCTTTGCTGTTCTTCCCCAAGCAGGTAAAGCTTCTCTCTTTAGGCAAGCTTTCCCTCAGTAGCTAGCTTCCCGAGAGGGTTTTTTAAATGGATTCTTCTGCCTTACTGTTTCAGTGTTGCTTGTCTTTACTGTCTTTTGGTGTATATTTAGTGCATATTTGTATACTTACTTTTTTTAGCTTTTACTATTGTCTTTTAATGATGTAAGCCACCCTGGGTCCCCCTTATGGATGGATGGGTGGGTGGATGGATGGATGGACTGAGAGATAAAACAGATGGATGGGTTCATGGATGGTCTTGAGAGATTGGATGGATGGATGGATGGACGGACGGACGGGGACGGACAGACGGACGGAGAGATTGGATGGATGGATGGACTGAGAGATTGATTGAATGGATGGACGGATGGACTGAGAGATTGGATGGATGGATGGACTGAGATTGGATGGATGGATGGATGGACTGAGAGATAAAACATGGATGGATGGATGGATGGACTGAGAAACAGAACAGATGGACGGACGGACGGATGGATGGATGTGCTACTGCATCACTGTCTGATCAGCTAGTTACCTGTTTTTGGCCTCGATCTAGCCCTGGAGCCATCAGGTGCCAGCACCAGGCAAACAGTATAACTGTGCTAACTGAAATAGCTGCTTCTGTGGTAAGCATTCCATTAATACACAGCTTCATGTTTCTGTTTCAGAGACCCCTTCTCCCCTTCTTTTTAAAATGCAGGCAATCTTTATCAACAATATATAATAAAGATTTCCATCTTCCTCCTGGTGAATTTTGTCCAAAGTGCTTTGAAAACTGAAATTAGCCCTCTTTTGATTTTGGCCTCACTTTGCTGGGAAGGAAGGAAAATGTTTGGTTGCTCTCCTTAGGGGGATCCTGCAGCTGACCTGTTGTGTTTGCTTTCCTAGGATATAATGTTTTTACCACCAGAGTCTTGTACAGTTACAAAGCTGGGGTAGGCGTTAGGTTTTTGGATCATCTTAGCCATTCCTAGTTTTGTTTTCTTCTTGCCTTCAGCTTGATAAAAGTAAACTGAAGCCCGGGACGAGAGTGGCCCTGGACATGACCACCCTGACGATTATGAGGTACGTTCTTGATCCCCAGGGTCTCGGAGCCGAATGCAAGGCAAAGGAGAGAAATTCGTAGGGATTGGAGAAGCCGAGAGCAGAGTTACTGCTGAGGGTCAGAACGGCTCTCATTGACTGCAGGCAGTGAATTTTGCAATGATGCTTCTACTGGATTCAAGAAAGAGATTTCTTTAGAAATCTAACCCAGTCCCTCACATATCCTTGGTTAAGAGGTGGAACAGGACATGGCAAATGAAGGCTCAGTTCAGTGTCTGTTGCGGTGCATTCCCTTGTTGTATGAAATGATCCATGGCTATCAACTCACCTGCATCGTGGCTTTTTCTGGGGGTGGGTTAGGGTACATGGGTTGGCCCACCAGGCAGAAGCAAAAGCAGACGGTTCTTTCAGCTAGGTAAAGATAAAGGTTTCCCTTGACATTTAGTCCAGTCGCGTCCAACGTGAGGGTGCGGTGCTCATCCCTGTCTCCAAGCTATAGAGCCAGCGGCCAGCGTGACTAGACACGGAATGCCGTGACCTTCTCACTGTTGTGGTCCCTATTTATCTACTTGCATTTTTACATGCTTTCAAATGGCTAGGTTGGCAGGAGCTGGGACAAGCAACGGGAACTCACTGCGTCGCGCAGATTCGATCTTACGATGGCTGGTCTTCTGACCTTGCAGCCCAGAGACTTCTGCAGTTTAACCTGCAGTGGCACCACATCCCCTGTTCAGCTAAGCATATTGCAATTTTGCTTTCAATGAAAGTGAAAATAAATCAATGCAGAAGCTTGGCCCTCCTTTCCGTCGTACTTGAAGGGAAGTCCAAGACTATCTTTTTCCCTGAAAGGCTTTGCACTTATCCCTTAAGTGAAGTCGAGGCTACAGAGCACATGTTCTTCACTTGCCCACATTACAAGGTGGCCTGTAAGAGGATCATCACCCCATGGGTAAAAAAAGTCCTGGCCATTCAGAAAGAAACAGACTTGAGTTTCTTCTTTCTGATATACACGCCAAGATCACTGATCAAGTAGCCAGATTTTGTACGTCCAATACTCATGTCTTGGAAATTCCATGGTAACTAGATATTAGATTGTAGATTATCTTAAATGCCAAGTGCTTTTTACGAAGTACCTGAAATTATGGTACAGGTAACTGTATACTAGATTTTGAATTATCTTTTAATATCAGATGTTTTTACTAAGTACTTGGGATTTTGGAAATTTCAGGGTAACTAGATACTGCATTTCAAATGGTCTTTTAATGCCAAATGTTTTTACAAAGTAAACTGGTAACGGTCTGTATTTTCCCCCCTGTGTAATTGGTCTAAGGACCGTAACAGTAAACTGTACTATACTGTATTAATGCAGAAGCGACAGGAACTAGAGAGTTCTGTAGACAAAGACTTGTGTTCCACAGGGAGGATACCAGTAAAGGACAGTTGCATTTCAAATGGTCTTTTACTGCCAAATGTTTTTACAAAGTAAACTGGTAACGGTCTGTATTTTCCCCCCTGTGTAATTGGTCTAAGGACCGTAACAGTAAACTGTACTATACTGTATTAATGCAGAAGCGACAGGAACTAGAGAGTTCTGTAGACAAAGACTTGTGTTCCACAGGGAGGATACCAGTAAAGGACAGAATCCTGTAAGAAGAATCCTCTAGAGCAGTGGTTCTTAACCTTTGTTACTCGGATGTTTTTGAACTGCAACTCCCAGAAACCCCAGCCAGCACAGTTTGTGGTGAAGGCTTCTGGGAGTTGCAGTCCAAAACTCCTGAGTAACCCAAGGTTAAGAACCAGTGCTCTAGAGCACAAGCAATTAAGACATGTAGCAATGTCGATGTGAGCCAGAAAAACCTTGACTGATATTTCTTCTCCATTGTGAGCTTGCTAGTTGTGTTTAAACAAGCTGTTACCCAGAACACGGCCAGAGAGCCAGAAAAACGCACAACAACCATCAGATTCCGGCCGTGAGAGCCTTCGAGAATACAAGCTGTTATTCCTTCATCGCCTCAATGTGCCCATGTGTAAAATGGGAATAAGATTATTCTTTATAGGATGGTTATACCTATAGGATGGTTCACAGTGGAATGCTTCTGGAAGTGAAGGATGGGCCAGCTGCATGCCATTGGCCAGGAGACCCCCGAGTCTACTAACAACGCTTTTCTTTGAGGAGACTCTTTGTATGGCCCACACTGTAGCTCTTACGTGTGTGCAATTTATGTTCCATCACGTGTGCAAAAGAAAATCTAGCAAATGGCCAAGATAATGCTATTGAAGTAGCCTACGTCAGGTCAGAAATAGTCTAATAGTCTTAACATTTTATTTTGCTTTTTAATTTTATCTATATTTTGTATATCTCCATAATTTTAAATTGTGCAATATTCTGATAGAAGGAAGGAAGGAAGAGAAAGAAAGATAGGATGGTTGTACGGATTAGTGAAAAATATATATGAAGTGTTTTGGATATACAGGCGGCTTTTGCACATAAACCCTAAACTGTAACTGAGTGCTACAACAGGAGTAGAATGAAGCCCTTGTCAGACACTGGATTTATATGTTCCCTCTCTTACTCCTCCTTTTGCGTGGCCAAGAAAAGGAATAAACCAGATTTCAGTTTCATTTAACAGATTTATAGTCTGTTGTTCCACCTGAAATAAGAGTTGTAATCTAGGGTCACCTTGGTTATTAAACAGATTTATTTATGTTGATATGTTTCGTCATATGTGAGGGCAAGCCAGGAATTTGCCAAAATGAAGCTGAATTCTGTTATATTCCCCTTCCCTTTCGGGCAGGAGGAGAGGGGAAGTAAAAAGGCCCCAACCCAAGACTTCCCTCGTGGCTCCTTTCTGCCAGTGCACTAGTGTGAAATCCATCTGTGGTGTTCTGTGGGGTGCATGCATATGGAAAAGCACTGAATAAATAATTAGCCCATGGTTCACATTTGCTCTTTTTTTAATCCAAACGGTGGATAGATGTTTCAAGCTTCTTTGTGAGAAGATTTTTCTTTTTCTTTCCTTTTTTTTTTAAAAAAAGAATCTCTGTAGGTTTAAAATGTAGAATAAAATGCACTGTGTCTTCGATTTAGGTATTTGCCAAGAGAAGTCGATCCACTGGTTTACAACATGTCGCACGAAGATCCCGGGGATGTGTCTTACTCTGAGATTGGCGGCTTGTCAGAACAAATCAGGGAACTCAGAGAGGTGCACTTCCGTTTTGTTACATGTCGCCCTGAGAGGGTTAGAGGTTACATTCACAGGGCACAGTGGTGGTCCTCCTGACCCTAGTAATAAGGGTGAGGAACAAGCCTTAGACTTACAAAGACACCCACCTTATGATCTGCTGTGGTTTCCCACTCTTTCCTGGTTCACTTTAACCACAGACTGCTGTCGTCCCAGGTGGTCAGGAATCTACACATTATGGCTGGAATTTGCAGCAATGTCTGACTGCCTCGAGACCCTTTTGTGTGGTGGAAAAGGAGGAGTAGGAAGTGAATAATCAAGTGTTTCCTAGCCAGCTCTACAGTCTAATTGAGCCCTAATAGCATAACAGTACTAAAAAAAAAATAATGGTCAGCAGCAGATACTGGCGTTGCGAGGCCTTATGAATTGTGGGTTTTACATATGATGGTTTGTAAAACCAAATGCCGTATTTTATGAAAACCTCTTTGGGCTGCTTTTCCGTGAAAATGTCAAAGTATCTTCCTTAGCATAAAAACAAGAGCAGCAGGAATATTGGGAAAGATCCTTGAATGTGAAGACAAAACAGTGGAAGCAATAAGACTGTTTTTATTTACAGTCGTACCCCTGTATCGGGGATGTGGCGGCGCTGCGGGTTAAACTGCAGAAGCCTCTGGGCTGAAGATCAGCAGTTCGAATCCACGTGAGGGAGGGAGCTCCCATCGCTTGTCCCAGCTCCTGCCAACCTAGCAGTTCGAAAGCACATAAAAATGCAAGTAGATAAATAGGTACCACCACAGTGGGAAGGTAATAGCATTCCGTGTCTAGTCATGTTGGCCACATGATCACAGAAGATTGTCTACGGACAAACGCTGGCTCTACGTTTGTAGAGGGCTTGGAGACGGGGATGAGCACTGCCCCCTAGAGTTGGATGCAACTGGACTAAATGTCAAGGGGAACCTTTACCTTTTTTTACCCCTGTATCCATGGGGGATAGGTTCCAAGTCTTCCATTCACCACCCCACGGATGCATGAAACCACAGATAGTGGGAAATCCTTTGACCCTACATTGCAGGTCTTGCGCGTAAAAACAAGTTTTCTGTTTTGAATTAAAATAATCTGCTTTATTAAGTTGCTAAATGCGCTGTGTGTTTTGCCAACTGTTGTCAACTGATTTGGGTTTAATGAGAGAAAAAAGTGGAGTTTTTAAATACATTCAAGTGACCTGTCCTATTTGGTTGCTCCTGCTCTTCACAGGTCATAGAGTTGCCGCTGACCAACCCAGAATTATTCCAGCGTGTGGGAATCATACCTCCCAAAGGATGCCTGCTGTATGGGCCACCAGGTTTGTCTCCTTAGTACAGGTTTTTACGATGGCTTCTCCCTTCTTAGCCAACAGGCCTGTCCCTTCAGATATTTCATTTTAGACACACTGTTGAGCGGTAACACTCCTTGTTCAAAGGCAAACACTCTTTGCAAGGGGTGTCGGGCCCAAGCAGGTCACCTGAAACGCTAGGGAGGGTGCAGTGTGTGAGGATACAAGCCAATCTGAATGAGGACTTAATCAAGGTGCCATCCAGTCAATTCTGCCTTCTGGTGACCCTTTTCAGGGTTTTCCAGGTAGAGGATACTCGGAGGTGGTTTCCCGTTCCTTTCTTATGGGATCGTGCAGTTTGCCCAAGGCCACACAGGCTGGCTTTTCACCCTGAAGGCACAGGCTTACCGGAGAATGATTAGCGGGGGCAAAAAAAATGTTTTAAAAGAGTTGTCTCCAAAGAGCTGAAAAAGCATGGATGCTCGTGGTACAAGGAGCACCTTTAAAACACCTAGGTGCCTAGGATTGCTCCGACCCTAGAGAAGAGCACATGGTTTTGTTCTTTTAAAAATCCCTTTGAGAAGAATGCCTTGTTTCATGTGTTGCTATCATATTTTTTTCTATTATACTCCGCATCCTGAGTTTTTCCCATGTGTGTGATTGTATATAGTGTTTGTCTACTGCCCTGTGGCTTCGCAGTTTTAAAAACACCTGTTATTTCACTGCCCTGCCTTCTGACTCAGTAATTTGCCTGTTTAGGTACCGGGAAAACCCTCTTGGCCCGAGCCGTTGCCAGTCAACTGGACTGCAATTTCTTAAAGGTAAAGCAATCAGAGTCCGTTCCGCTGTATTAATTGCAATCAGTTTGATCTCCACCCACTGCTCAAGCTCCCTCCTGTTCTCCTCAGGTCGTGTCTAGTTCAATTGTAGACAAATACATTGGCGAGAGCGCCCGGCTGATCAGAGAGATGTTTAACTATGCCAGAGATCACCAGCCCTGCATCATCTTTATGGACGAAATTGACGCGATTGGTAAGGCTGGCAGGGCATCCCGTCCCCTAACAGATTCTTTTTCAACCTCTTCCTTTAATTTCCTGCCGAGACAACGGCTAGGTTTGCTAGTTTAGTAACGGCCCTGCTGTGGACCGAGTGAGCGCATCAGCGCAGGGTTGGTCAACATGAGGCTCTCCGGATCTTGTGGGACTGCAGTCCTCAGCCACCTCTGCTAGCAGAATCAGTGCTGAGGATGGATATGAATGGTAGGACACCAGCACCCGGAGAGCCACACATTCCCCAGCCTTTCCTTGGGAGTAAACAGGAATCAAGGAGGGATAGAAAGCCAAGTGTGCTACTTCTGTACTGCCCTAAGTGCTTAAAGCACGCTCTCTAGGAAGTTTATAATTCAATTCTACAGGCTATACATCCCCCCCCCACACTGCCTCAGCAAGCTGGGTACTCAATTTACTGACCTCAAAAGGATAGAAGGCTGAGTGAACCTTGAGCTGGCTACCTGGGATTGAACCTTGGGTCATGAGTAGATTTCTGGCTGCAGTCCTGCAGTTTTATCACTGTTCTTGGAGTTCTGGGGTGCTTGAAGACAAGTACAGTGGTGCCTCGCACAGTGAGGTTAATCCGTTCCGGATTAACCCTCGCTGTGTGAAAGCATCGTTGAATCAGTGCTGAGGATGGATATGAATGTTAGGACACCAGCACCTGGAGAGCCACACATTTTCCAGCCTTTCCTTGGGAGTAAACAGGAATCAAGGAGGGATAGAAAGCCAAGTGTGCTACTTCTGTACTGCCCTAAGTGCTTAAAGCACGCTCTGGGAAGTTTATAATTCAATTCTGCAGGCTATACATCCCCCCCCCACTGCCTCAGCAAGCTGGGTACTCAATTTACTGATCTCAAAAGGATAGAAGGCTGAGTGAACCTTGAGCCAGCTACCTGGGATTGAACCCTGGGTCATGAGCAGATTTCTGGCTGCAGTCCTGCAGTTTTACCACTGTTCTTGGAGTCCTGGGATGCTTGAAGACATAAATGTCCACGCATTCTGGTTGGAGCATAAGTGAGGCAGCATGGATTTCTTCATAGGTAAATGTTTGCAAGAAGCAATATCTACATAAATCATTTAGTACCTACAAATTCATGTTGTAGTTTTCAACAGATTTTGGAGAACATCTTCCAAAAAGCTACTACAGTACATTCTTCTTTGCCTGGGCCTAGACAGCAATAACTCCCATCAACAGTGGTGACACTAAATGAGGATGATGGGCACTGGAGTTCTCTAGCTAAAGGCTTCCCACACTGCTGTAGATTCTAAGCAAATTGGTTTTAGACTTCCAGATCTTTTTTCCCCTGATTCCACTGAAACATGGACAGCCTTTCTGCTCTGACCGTAGAGCGAATTCATCGCTCTACGGGGCGCTTGTTGTGCGAGGCACCACTGTATATCATGACGTAAATGTCAAGGCATTCTGGTTGGAGCATAAGTGAGGCAGCATGGATTTCTTCATAGGTAAATGTTTGCAAGAAGCAATATCTACATAAATCATTTAGTACCTACAAATTCATGTTGTAGTTTTCAACAGATTTTGGAGAACATCTTCCAAAAAGCTACTACAGTACATTCTTCTTTGCCTGGGCCTAGACAGCAATAACTCCCATCAACAGTGGTGACACTAAATGAGGATGATGGGCACTGGAGTTCTCTAGCTAAAGGCTTCCCACACTGCTGTAGATTCTAAGCAAATTGGTTTTAGACTTCCAGATCTTTTTTCCCCTGATTCCACTGAAACATGGACAGCCTTTCTGCTCTGATTTTCCCTTAGGTGGTCGTCGGTTTTCAGAGGGCACTTCAGCTGACAGAGAAATTCAAAGAACACTAATGGAGGTAAATGTTTTGATGCTACCATTCCCTCCCCTATTTTATAACTGCAGGCAGGAAGTGACAATACAGGATTCGTGTGTTTATCCTATCTAACCTGCCATACTTTCAAGGAGCACAAGCTGTCATAGGAAGTTGTGACTACAGTTTTTGCAAGCCGGAACAATAGGTGCAGAAACAGAGAATGTAATTAGGTGTATTGTTTAAAAACCAAGGAACATAGAAGGAAGAGTGGAAAATTGTTGGGAGTACAATTGAGCATCTTCTGAGCCATAAATGGCATGCAGCCAGCAAACCCTTCACTTCTGGAAGAGTGGCATTGCAAACTTGCTGGTGACCAAAAAGACCCCCATCGTTTTTTTAGGACCACAAATGATCCTAAAACATTTCTAAACATTTTAATTTGTTTCTAATGTTTACCTGTCTTTCATATACATCCATAGTTTTAAATTGTGCAGTGCTCTCAAAGAAAGAAAGAAAGAAAGAAAGAAAGAAAACTGGTGTTTCTGTGGAGCCCATGCATCATTCCTCCATTGAACACTGAAATGTCTGGGAGACGTTCTTAGCAGTTTTTTTTTTAAATAAAAGTTTTGTCCAGTGTGCCAGCTGGCTATAAAATGGCTTCTTTCAACTGGAGCTAGAGCGACATTTAATGCTGCATCGAGTGGAACGGTGGCTTTTCCTTGACTCATCAAAACTCAGGTGCTCCCTATGGTTCCCTGGATAGAGAAACTGTTCCTTGGTTGCCCCAGTCAGAGGAAGTGACCTGTGTTTTCTGTGTCTTTGAAGGCTGTAGCCTGCCTGAACATGATGCCAAACATGAATCCTCCATTCTCATAGAAGAGACTGGTGCTCTTTGGAAAAGTTAGATAACCACTCCCAGAATCCTCTATCCAGAAAACTGGAACCGGAGCTTGGAAGAGTTACTTGTTGGGCCACAACTGCTAGTTTCTGAGAGTTGTAGTCTGATTTTCCAAGTTCTGGCTAGAATAAATACTACGGTTACATCTCATATTGCAGATTTCATTTGGGACGAGAGTTTCAGAGCTGCCTCTCAGACTGATTGTCATGGTGAGCTGTCCCAACGGACAAAAAACTCGCAAATAGCTGAAGCTTTTGCTTTCTTGTTAAACTTTTTTTCAGTTATTAAATCAAATGGATGGGTTCGACACCCTGCACAGAGTGAAGATGATCATGGCTACCAATAGACCAGACACGCTGGATCCAGCCTTGCTCCGTCCCGGAAGGCTGGACAGGAAAATTCGTGAGTGGGGTGTTTTTGTCAACACACAATTCTGTGCCTGCCCCCCCCCTCTCGTTGGCAGGTTCTTAGAAACCATTTTTTCCTCCTCTCTAGATATTGATTTGCCGAATGAACAAGCCAGGTTAGACATCCTGAAGATTCACGCTGGACCTATAACGAAACACGGAGAAATCGGTATGTTTCCAGGGTTTCGTGAGAGGGTCTGCCCGATTTCTGGGACTTGGATAAAGTGGCAATAATTACTGTTGCGTTGTGTACTGCCATTTCTTTGAAGTAAGAAAAAAAATAGTTGTCTTCTTTGAGTATAATCAGAGGTCTCGTTTTGGCTGAGACATATTTAGGTATAATAGTTATTTTATGACGTTTGCATCCTTCCCTTCCTCGACAGACTCGGGGCACCCAAATCCATGAAGCTTGCCCTGGGAGGCAGGTGAAATTTGGGGTCCCCCATGATCCAGCACTGCTTTAGGGCCAATAGCGGGCAACGTCCAGGCTCCAGGTGTCTAATTCAGGACCCTCCACAGGCCACCTATTTATAATTAAAAATAAATGATACATCAGAAGTTGCCAGTCATCTGCCACTAGATTAGTAGATTTCTTTTGGAGTATTTTTTGGGGGGAGGGGTAGAAGGAACAAGGCACTCCTGGAAGCTGCTCTGCGTTGCCGTCCTCCCTTCTAGTTGAACAAAATCGCCGCAGGAGGTGTGTTTGAGCCGAGGAAGGCATTGCAAAAGCAGCAGGGGGACATTTCTGCTCCCCCGCCCGGACCCCTGCATGCTCCTGTTCTCGATAGTGAAGTAGTAACAGGGACTAGGAAAGCCTTTCGCCATGGCTGGTCTGCTGAATGTCCCATTTCCTGAAGAAAAGCGGGCTTCTATATTCCCTTCCAAACTTCACAGCAGCCCTGTCATGTTTAAGGCTGATCCTTTCACAAAGGGCCTGGATATTTCAGCGGCTTCAAAGCACTGGGGCCAACCTGATTCTTGTATGAGCTCATAAATCCAATCTGCTGGTTACACCTGAATAGACATTACTTTCAGCCCTGCTTTGGGTCCCTTTCACAGCTGGGAGTTCTCTGGGTGGGTGCCAGGATCAGGACCTCCCCAGTGGTGGGACCATGGCTTTGGGACAGCTTTCAGAAGAGGCCTATGCGGGTAGGCCTTCTGGCCGTGGGTGGCCGTCTTTTTATTCTTTGAAGAGGTCATTGGCGCAACTGAAATGATTGCCTATTCGGTTCTCAGATGTTGTTATTTTTTTGCTGTTTTAGCAGCTTTGAGAGCCTGCTTAAAACAGGTCTCAAAGCTGCTAAATGAAGTTTTAATTATCTTGTTTTTTTATGTAAACCTCCCAGAATAGTTCTGTGCACTAATGGGGGCAGTATATAAATCCATGAATGAACGAACAAGTGAAGAGATAAATGATTGCAATGAAGAAGAGCAGGAAAGAGAAATGTCTGAAAATTCACTGACTAAATATGGGGGATTATCCCCTCTTTATCCTCTCTATGAAATAGGTCAGGCTGAGAGTGGGTGGGTGGCACAAGGTTATTAATTAGTTGCATGAGTGGGTGGGAGTTTGAACCCAAATCTCCCTCGCCCGGCTTGAATTCTTCTTTCAGGTCTGCTGTCAAATGAGACATTCTCACATTCTCTTCTAATATGCTGATGGACTCATAAGGCTGGCAGAGCCAAAAAACATCATTGGGGTCCCATGAATTCTCTCTGTTATGCTCAGTTGTGTGATCTGCCCTCAAATCAGACTCCGACACGTTAAACATTGGGAAGGGGGGGCTTCTAAGGCTACGAAGGTTGATTTGTGCAATGGAGTCATCCTGAAGGTCAGAATTCTCATTAATCTCACGATTTGTATCTTGAAACTAGATTATGAAGCAATTGTGAAGCTTTCAGACGGCTTTAATGGGGCAGACCTGAGAAATGTCTGTACTGAAGCCGGTAAGGACAGGGGAACTTGTAATGCTGCTGGGGGTTCTTTTAAAAGAAAGAAAGAAAAGCCCTTGGCTTTAATGCATGCAGCTTTATTGTAAGTTCAAATCATTCATTACATACTCGTGTGTGGGAAGGAAAGGAAGCTCCTTTCTGCCATCCCTCATAAAGGAGGGGGGGATCTTGCATGTTTGGGGTTCCTCGATCTTTGCCACCCGAATCGGAACCTACGGAGATCTGGGTCTTTGTGATCCGGATCGGTTCTCTGCCTGTCCGCCTCTTCCTCCTCGTCCCAGCTTGTTTCTCCAAACGCTTGTCTTCGCAGGCATGTTTGCCATCCGCGCCGATCACGACTTTGTCGTTCAGGAAGACTTCATGAAAGCCGTTCGGAAAGTTGCAGATTCTAAGAAGCTGGAGTCGAAGTTGGATTACAAACCTGTCTAAGAGGAACCCGAGTGGTTCACAGCTGGAGTGAGAATGCATGGGGAAATAGGGGGCTTTGTTGATTAAAAGAGAAACGGTATCCCTCGAATGTGTGATTATTCCAAGTGTCTGTAGCCAGCGGTCAGTGTCAGTGAAGTATCTGTGCTACAGGAAAGCATCTGGATTTTCAAACCAACATCGTCTCCATTACCATCCCACTGAAGTGGTGTTTCTTACCACATCTCTTTTTTTTCTTTTCCTTAACCCGTGAAATAAACTTTGTTTAAATCCATTCTCGATACGCATTTTCTCCGTTTATTTATTGTCGGAGCATGCAACAAAGCGGCAGCACTTTGGACAAATCTTACTTTTCCTGAAACAGTTTCTATTTCTCCTGCTTATAAATATATGAAAATAATAAAATAACAGTTAGAAGATTTGAGAAGCCGATCCAACCCACCATTTAAAACTCCCTTTTATTATTTTTTAATAGCACAAACAAAGACAAATAATTTGTGGAGCAGAGCAGGTACCATTCCTGGTTTACCGCTTGTTTAATTGCCTTTTTCCTTTTCTTGCTCTGTTAAAAGTGAAACAGTGGCTGGAATCCTATTGCTTGGTTACACAAAAGGCAGTTGATTCTAGCCAGCAATTAACAAGTCCCTGCAGGGATTCTCCAGTGCACACAAAACGGTATATTGGCTTCTTCGTTGCATATATTACTAGATTTTTTTTTTTTGCCTGCTCAGTGAGAAAGGCCTCCTTCATTAGAAGGAGAGGAAACAGGAATCCTGAAAAATACTTTCAGAATAAGATGGCACTAATTTTTTTTATCTAGGATATGTAATTAATGTGACCACAGATGTGGGGAAATAGTTAATTAGATCAGTCACATACACATTTATTTTGTTTAAAGGGAATACAATTCTTACTAACATTTCTGTGAAATACTCAGAGCAGGGAGGACATCTATATGAAAAGCTCCTGCCACCAGATGGCTGTATTTATATGGGGGTTTTGCAGTCTGCCTGCCGGAACAGCAAAATAGGCTTTGAAAAGTACATGTACAGCATAGCCTGTTGAGATGCATTAGGCTGACGGCTGCAAACTCATGAATTCCTTCAAAGATAGGTGATGGAAGAAAGCCGCCTCCTGGAGTTTAAGAGTGATGGGCATGAACTGTGTGCTAGAAGGATAAACCTACGAAGCCAGCAGACAGTGAAAGACTGAAGAAAACAAAAGTTTAAAGTTTAGATTCCATCTGCTTGCTTTATTAGCGGTAGAGCAGCCCTCCCCACCCTGGAACATTGGGTTATGATTCCTATCTCAGCAAGTATGGGAATGTTGCCTGGGGATTATGGGACTTGTTATGGAATACCTAGAAGGCTTTAGGCTGGGAAAGGCTGTGGTGGTGGGGGCAACATCATTCTGCACCATAAAAAATAAATGCTTATAAACCAACGAGAGAGATGGGTGGGTTAGCTAATACAGTACTCTGGAAGACAGACAAAATTCGTAATTAGATAGTCTTGAACACTAGGCTAAAAAGGACAGAATGAAATTCAACAGGGAGAAGTGCAAAGTCCTGCACCTTGGAAAAATAAACCAACGGCGCAATTACAAGATGGGGGAGACCTGGTCCAGCAAAACTAAGAGCGAGAAGGATCTTCGAATTGTAGATCACAAGCTGAATATGAGCCAGCTGTGATGTGGCTGCAAAAAAGGCTAATGCTATTTTAGGCTGCATTAATAGAAGTATAGTTTCCAAATCCCGCAAAGTGCTGGTCCCCCTCTATTTGACACTGGTTAGGCCTCACCTTCTGGACTGCAAGGAGAACAAACCTTTCCATTCTGAAGGAAATCAACCCTGAGTGCTCACTGGAAGGACAGATCCTGAAGCTGAGGCTCCAATACTTTGGCCATCTCATGAGAAGACTCCCTGGAAAAGACCCTGATGTTGGGAAAGTGTGAAGGCAAGAGGAGAAGGGGACAACAGAGGATGAGATGGGCAGACAGTGTCATTGAAGCGGCCAACATGAACGTGACCCAACTTTGGGAGGCAGTGGGAGACAGGAGATCGAAGGGACCAGCATGAATTTGACCCGACTCCGGGAGGCAGTGGAAGACAGGAGGGCCTGGCGTGCTCTGGTCCATGGGGTCACAAAGAGTTGGACACGACTAAATGACAAAAACGAGGCTTCACCTTGAGTATTGTGTGCAGTTCTGGACACCACACTTTAAGAATGATGCTGAAAAATTGGAACAAGTTCAGAGGAGGGGGACCAGCATGAATTTGACCCGACTCCGGGAGGCAGTGGAAGACAGGAGGGCCTGGCGTGCTCTGGTCCATGGGGTCACGAAGAGTCGTACACGACTAAACGACAAAAACGAGGCCTCACCTTGAGTCTTGTGTCCAGTTCTGGACACCAGACTTTAAGAAGGATGCTGAAAAATTGGAACAAGTTCAGAGGAGGGTGACGAGGATGATCAGGGGTCTGGAAACCAAGCCTTATGATTAAAGGGTGAAAGAACTGGGCATGGAAGACAGGGGTGACTCTGAGATGATTATAAGAACAGAAGAAGAGCCCTCCTGGATCCGGCCAAGGGCCCATCTAGTCCAGCTTCCTGTGGCCCCACCAGACAAGGAGATCCCTGTCTCCTGATCCCCCTCCCCTGCATCTGGCATTTTGAAGTACTTCCCTTTTAAGCCTGGAGATTGTACACCCCCATGATGGCTTGTCACCTGCGATGGACTTTTCCTCCAAGAATCGATCCAGTCCCCTTTGAAAGGCACCTAGATGCCAGATGCCATCACCACATCCTGTGGCAAGGGGTTCCACAGACTAACCACACGCTGGGGAAAGAAATATTTTCTTTTGGTTTGTTCTCACTCTCCCAACAGTCCATTGGAGTGGACGTCCCCTCGTTCTGGTTTTGTGTGAGAGGGAAAGGAGCTTCCCTCTATCCACTCAATCCGTCCCCTGTGGCATTTTAGATGTCTCAATCATGTCCCCTCTCAGGCGCCTTTTCTCAAGAGCCCCAAATGCTGTAGCCTGTCCTCATGAGGGAGGTGCCCCAGCCCCGTTATTATTTTCGCTGCTTTCTTATGCACCTTTTCCAGTTCTTTTTGTGCAGCCTTACCCGTACACCCTGGAGCATTGCATACAGATCAAGGACAGATCCTACCCATGTTCTCAGTCATCCCCATTCATGACATGACTTACATAATCCTGATTCAATCTACATTTCTCTCATATTGTGTTTATGGCTCTGGCAAAAAAAAAAGTTGAAAATGGCTGCTTTAGATTACTACAGATATCCCAATAAAACCATTTCCACATAAAGCTTTGAATGTGTTTGAATAGAACATGTAAACCAAACACACTGAATCCGATAATATGACCTTTCCCAGAAAAGCCCCATTTCTGGGGACACCGTCTGCACAAGCTACTTCTGAAGACAAATTTAGGGGCAAAATAACTCACTCAGTACTGGTCTTTTTGTGTAATCATGATAGAATTGGTGCTTCTGAATTGTGGTGCTGGAGGAGACTCTCGAGAGTCCCCTGGACTGCAAGGAGAACAAACCCATCCATTTTGAAGGAAATCAATCCTGAGTGCTCACTGGAAGGACAGATCCTGAAGCTGAGGCTCCAATCCTTTGGCCATCTCATGAGAAGAGAAGACTCCCTGGAAAAGACCCTGATGTTGAGAAAGAGTGAAGGCAAGAGGAGGAGAAGGGGACGACAGAGGACGAGATGGTTTGACAGTGTCATCAAAGTGACTGACATGAATTTGATCAAACTCTGGGAGGGAGTGGAAGACAGGATGGCCTGGTGTGCTCTTGTCCATGGGTTCACGAAGAGTCGGACACAACTTATCGACTAAACAACAACAAATCACGGGGTTTGCCAATTGTTCCAAGGGGCTCTTCCAAGTTTTGGAATTGAAAGCCCTAAACCTTCTGGGGCTAGGCTGTCCAAAGGGCTCTGTGACTGTGTGATCCTAACCAGCAGCCTCCAAACTCCTGCCGTCTTATCAGAACTTGCCCAATGAGATGAATTTGGGAGTCCTTTTATAGCTGAAGGACAATGTGGAGGGAATTCCCTCCACCTGCTTCTCCCTTTTGTGGCTTGGTGACTCTAAAAAGGATGCTTTTGGCGTAGCTTTTCCCAGAACAGGTTGATGCCAGCTGGATGGAGCCAGACAATTGATTCCACATCATTGCAGCTGCAGTCTTCTAATGAACACCAGGCCTTCAAAGTGGTCTCTGTGAAATTTCAGTCTCCATTAAGCAGCTACAGTTGGCTCGATCGTCAATCCAAATGGAGACTGAAGCCAAGAAATCCGAAGAACATGAAGATTCTGGAAGGAAGCAGTGAAAGGAGTTGAAGAGATCATCAAGGGTCAGGATGGGTCACTGGAGATCAAGGCCAAGATCATTCACCCTCTTTAATTCCTGATCACCTATGTATGGGTGTGATGTCGAGCTGGATAAACACATTGGCAAAGCAGCCACCATGTTCTCTAGACTCACAAAGAGAGAATGGCTCAATAAGAAGCTGACGACACATACCAAGATCCAGGTCTCTAGAGCCTGTGTCCTAAGCACACTCCTGTACTAGTGAGTCCTGGACCCTTTGTGCACGGCAGGAGAGGAAGCTGAACACCTTCCATATGCGTTGTCTCCGACGCATTTTTGGCATCACCTGGCAGGCATGGAGACTCTGGAAGGAAGCAGTGAAAGGAGTAGAAGAGATCATCAAGGGTCAGGCTGGGTCACTGGAGACCAAGGCCAAGATCATTCACCCTCTTTAATTCCTGGTCACCTATGTATGGGTGTGAAAGCTGGACAGTGAAGATAGCTGGGGGGGGGATGATTTGTATGAAAGGTGGTGCTGGAGGAGAGTGTTGCAGATACCCTGAACTGCTAGAGAGATGAAGAAGTGGGTCCTAGAGCAAACCAAGCCTGAAATGCTGGATAACTCAGTGGCTGAGCCAGATGTTGGGAGTTCAATTCCCCCACTGTGTGCCTCCTTGACAGGGGCTAGACTTGATGACCCATAGGGTCCCTTCCAGCTCTGCAGTTCTGAGATCTAAGATGATAACTAGGGGGAGGATTTCTGTGACATTTCACATTTTCTCTGCAACCTACATTTGAACCATAGGCAAGTTCAAACAAGTTTATGAGTAATGTATTCTCGAAGGCTTTCACGGCCGGGATGTTTACGAGAGTATGACTAATTTGGCCTTTCTCACCGGATTACTCATAAAGATGTTCAACCCCACCCGTAAGAT